TATTCATTTTTCTTATTTCATTTTATTTTTTTAATTACTTTTCATAACCATCAAAATATACTATGTGACCTTCAAGAAAATAATAATTTATTCTCAAAATCTATTTTCTTGTGCAACACATGTTATTTGGGTTGAGGGGTAATTTTATCATTTTAAATTTTTAAATTTTTATTAATTTTTTTATTCGTCTTTTTTTTTAGATTCTTTTTCTTATATTTCCTGACTTGTATATATTGATACTAGAATAATTATTAAATTTTAATAATTAATTTACCGTTTTGTTTCATAGAGTATAAAAACTTTAACATGAAGAAAATGAGAAAGAAAAACTTAAGTTGAAATAAACATGAAAATTAATAGTATATCATTTTTTTAAAAAAAGTAAAAAAAAAAACCTTAAAAAAACTTCAAAGACATGTGTTTTCTCCTTAACTTCCTCTATTTCATAGGTAAGTTACGAAACATAAGTTTTTACTTAATCTAGCCTAAAAGGATTATTTTGTTCTTTGTAAAAAAAAATAATACAAGTCATGTAGTATAATTTAGTAATTAATTAGCTAAAAAATACATGTATTTATCTTTTTCATTAAATTCAATAATTTCTTATAATGTAGTTTAGCAACCGCGTAAAAAAATATTAAAAAAGAATTAAAATAGTGTTAACCAAATTTACAGAAATGCATCATTGTGGACTAATTAAATTAGCACATTTTCATGTTTCAAATGATTGTCCTATTTTTATATTATTTTAATTATAACAAAATAGATATTTATTTTAGGCTAGATCAAGTAAAATTTATGTTTCGTAACTCGCCTATGAATTAGAGGAAATCAAGAAGGAAAGACTTCTCTTTGCAGATTTTTTTAAAGATTTTTTCGATTTTTGTTTAGAATAATAAACTATTAATTTTCATGTTTATTTCAACTTGATTTTTCTTCCTCATTTTCTTTATGTTAATTTTTTTATAATCTATGAAATAAAAAAGTAAATTAATTATTAAAATTTAATAATTATACTAGTATCAATATATACATGTAAAGAAATATAAGAAAAATAATCTCAAAAAATAAAGAATAAAAAAATAAAATTAAAAATTTTAAAAAATTAAAAATAACAAAATTACCCATCAACCCAAATCACATGTGTTGCACATGAAAATTAGATTTTGAAAATAAATAATCATTTTTTAAAGATCATATAGTATATTTTGATGGTTATGAAACGTAATAAAGAGAATAAAATAAAATAGAAAAAAATGAATAAAAAGGGACTATTTTGTTATTTTTATATTTCAGGGCTATTTTTATAATTTTTTAAACTATCGGGGTGTTTTTGGTTAAAAACTAATGAAAATCCGTTAAGATTAACGGAAATTGCACCAATTGGGTAGAATCGACAAAAATTTCAAACAGTAAGGATAAAATTGACTAACCAGAAATCAATAGGGTAGATTTGACAATGAGCCTAAAGCTTTGGGTATAAACGCCAATTTTTCCATAAAAGAATATATAAATACGCACTTCACTTTAACTCTGTAAGAAATTCACAAACTTCAAGTTTGCAAGTTAATAATAAGCATACATGTGGCTATCTCGTAAGCACACCAGTTAATGACCTAATAAGGGTCCTGAAGCGCAATATCGGTTTAATGAAACTTGTGCCATTACTAGTCTTCTTCTAACATTCAAATCATAACAGTGTTTAAGGGAGAAATATGGTTATTTTTAGAAAATGTTGCACATTGATTAGTGGAAAAGGGCACTGTTTCAAGAATCGTATAGTTCAAAATCAAATTGTAGATCGTGAATGAAAAACAATAGATGGTACATATCAGTTACAGAAAGTAGAGACCTCCCTTTTAAATATTCCTCGTAAAATTTTTCATTTTATCAGGCTTGAGAATAAGTATTTTTTATCAGGCTTGAGGATAATGATATGATACCAATCTCGTAGACGAATGAAATTTTGTTAATGAAGCCATCAACAAGAATGTATGGAAAAGATGGTTAGATGTGAAACTATAAAACTATATGATTTTCCTTTAGGAAATAAGCCGTATTGATTGGAAAAGAAAACAATTTTCTCTAACGAAGGGGGACTTCTTTGTAATTTACATCCAAAGCCTCCAAAATATTTTTAAAAAATATTTTATTTCCAATTTTACTACAGTAAATTTTAGTTTTTGAATTGAATTTTCTTTTTCCCTATGGATGAACCATCCATTTACATATTTACAGATAATTTTTTCAAAAATGTAAATCAAAGAACAATTTAAAGTTTTGAAAATATGGATGTTATAGTGCATGTTTTCTTTGTTAAGCAATTACTGGTATAAGAAAACCGTCCAATGATAATATTTTATTATAAAGTCATAAGTCTCGTAAAAGTTCCGATTCTATCTTAACACTATACATTGCAGTTCGGCCTAAGCTTTATATAGGCAAGGTTTCTTGCTCTCCAAGAAGTAAACCTAAACTTTATGATCATTCAATCCTACCAAGCTCTGGAACCAACAAGAACTGGTGGACGTGTGAAGCCAAGCTTGACAAAATGCCAACGGTCCCCATTCTCAAACCATCCATGAAACCTATAACCCATCGACACTCAATCAATTCACAAACAAGAGTGTTAGTTTTAAAACAATTAAATATTGCAACAGCAAACATGATAAAACGGTTTTACCCTAAGATCATCTCCATTAGATCTCAAAGATAAAGAAATTTACTAACCATACAATCTCTCCAACACAACAGACCACACTCCATTGTAAGAAAACCATCCAATGATGATATTTTATTAATCATAAGCCTCATAAAAGTTTCGATTCCATCTTAACACTATACATTGCAGTTTGGCCTAACCTTTATACAGGCAAGGTGTCTTGCTCTCCAAGAAGTAAACCTAAATTTAGGCTAAAGAAAGAGACTCTTTCCCTCTCTCCATTCTCAACCCAAGTCACTGGAAGGAAACATGAAGCCAACTTTGGTTCTAACTTTTATTCTAACCTAACTGATATGTAATAATAAACCCTACTTCTTTTAATAACAAAAAGACATAACCTTAACGATTTAACCTAGTAGGGCTGGCTATGATAGCTTAATTTAACACCCTTAGTTAACCAATCTATTCACTCTACTTAAATAGAATTAGCACTTATTTACGGACTCTTTCAACTATCAAGAAAGACTAAAACACCCTTGTAAGACACCCTTCGACCATCCACCTCTTGATGCTCTTTGTCCAAATCTTCAACTTTGATATTGAGACAGGTATGATCATATACGAACATCTCACATGGACCCACACACTCCTCACGCTCCAATAAAGTGATTCCTACAAACAAGAGTGTATATCATCAAAGCTTTCCTTGTGCTTATGCCTTGGTACAAACTCACTAGCTATGATTTCCACAACATCTTCACTTGAGCTCTCACTTGAATCATCACTAGTACCCCAATTCTCAGAAAAGTCATCACTTGACTCATTTGATACGTGATCTTCACTTTGATGACTAAGCGACTCTTCCTCATTGCCTCCTTACCTTCAATAGTTAAGCAACTCTTCCTCATTACCTTCAAAAATTTGAGATGAAATCTCCTTCATCAAAGGCCAACTCCTCATAGTTAACCTTCTCTTGTTCTTGAAAGAAAACAATCTTGGTCCTCCAATTGACAAGAACACTTTTGACTCCATCAATTTAGAAGGTCTTCGATGGAAAGCTCCATGATCCATATCATCCTCTCCCTTTTTAAAAGAATTCATTCTCAAATCATGAGACTTAGTACGTTCAAAATGAGCACATATAAAATCATTGTTAGTAGTGACGGTATCTCCTACACCACCTGATAGCAGTTCGGGACAAAACCAATCATGATGGAAGATCAACTTTGTCGATTTAGAAAGACAAAGATTGTAGGCAATGGGCTTAGGAGAATTCAGATATAGAAAGACACAAAACACACGGAAAACACAGAAAGAAAATGTATTTGATCTCACGTGGATCAATTCATAGGTTCAATGACAGAACAATCCAAATCAAGAATGAAGAGAGATATTTCTATCCAAGCATAAACATCATTAGAAGATTGAGTAGGAAACCCAATAGATATAAGATCTATGACGTTAAGGACCAAAATTCAAAAGATCCAATGCTAAATATGCCACTATCAAGCGAACTACACAAGATAGATAAGTCCCATATTTAAAACTAAACAACGAAGTCCACGCAAGAACTCTACAAAAAGGAAAATCCTTAACCAATTTGATAATCTTACTCATCTATATATGTTGAATGCAACGAAATTCGGTCCCTGTTTATAGAGGGAGGGCGGGCGAATTTTATTCTAGGAAGTAAAAGAAGAAACAAACTCTTCAACTCTATTCCTATCTCCATGAATTCAAATTCAATTCAAGCTCTGAAAGACTCTAGTCTAATTAAGGATGAATATTAAAACTCAATACACAACAAGACAATCTCTGAAATGATTCCTTCAGGCGATAAGGTAGAATCTCCTTTGAGTACATACTCTATCATTATCTCCGTTGTAGAATTATCTTAGCCATTCATCTTGATGTAGTCTTCATCCAACAGCTGAGTAGACATCAATGAATTGACTCCTTACTGTGAACGAAGTCAAACACAATAGATAAAAAGAAATCATTCTAAATCTTCTCCTTTAAAGAGATAAAATCTTATCCTTTCAAGAGATAAATTTTGAATGATCTCATCCCTAATTAATAGGCATAAACTCGACTCCAAGAAATGAGAAGTGGGGCCCGCTGTCTCTCCTTCGATTGAGGACTGAAAATCCTTCCTTTCACATGGGCCAAGTTCATTTGGTGTCACTTGCAACAAATTAATAGTCTTGGACTTGTACTTTTCAAGCTAAATTCTTTTCTTAAACCATGTAAATGTAATGAGACAATTAAGTGATTCATTCATCCTCTTGCATCTAGCACGAGTCATAGGTCCAGCAATATTTGAGAGTTCATCACGGATTTAAAGATTATTCTTCAAGACGACATCATTTGATCCTCCACTAGGATTCATGACCTCTATTTGTTCGTCCTCCACTGCTAACAACAAAATGTTCCTCTTCATTAGTGTTAACTCGATGGTCTCTGTCACCACCACTCAATTCAAAATTCATCACCCCCATAAGAGTTTACGCTTTTAATGGTTGTACCAAACTAATTTTCTACAAAAGTTCTAAACTGTTTTAAAATTTGAGGAACATCACTTTTATTCTTGATAGGATAAAGCCATGTGAATAAAGAAAAATCATCAATAAAAAGCACAAACTAACGATAGAAATTAAAGGACAAAAGAGGTGCAGGCCCCAAACGTCAATGGGAATTAAATTAAGAGGTTTAGAACTACGATAGAACATAGAAGAAAACCTGATTCGATGCAACTTCCCTAAACAACACACCTCACATTTATCAGTGGACGTGGACAGAGAGGAATGGGGAAGCTAAAATTGTCTAACTAAAGAACAAAGAGAGACATTATTCGGGTGCCTTAACCGAGCATGCAATTAACTAAGAAAATGAGATAAGCTGCCAAAGATAATGAACCACAAGCAGGGAGTTCCAACCGATAGAGACCATTATCAGCCCGATCTCAGAGGAGCAGTTCCTTAGTTGAGAGATCTCTAACACAACAGAAATCAGAGTAAATTTTTAAAAAACAGTGGTTATCCCTAGTGAGTTTTCGAACAGAAAATAAAGGTTTAGTGAGAGTATGGTATGTAATACACGATTTAAATAGAGTGGACGAGAGGACGATGGCAAAATAGATTGAACAACATGCGTAATAGGTAAAGCAGCATCATTACCAACTATAGTATGATCCATACCATTATAATCATTGGAACTCACTGAGAGACAACAAGTCTGGGTTCACATGATTGTTAGCGCTAGTGTAAGGGTGCCATGGAGTAAAGGGAGGAGCGTACTGCACCATGTGTGCGTGAGGACGCACTAACAAATCTGGCCAAATGCGGTGAAGGAGAGACAAACTGTGTGCATGCAGGAGATGGTGTAAATTGCTGGTGCGAAACAAAACTTAAGTCAAAGCAGTGGCGATAAGTCCCTGCGGTGTGATTCAAAATGCCACAAAGTTGACATCTCTTACCCAGTGTCAGAGATGAGTAACAACACTGACCTCCTCCATGACCAGTGAATTGAGAACGCCGGCCACCACGCTGGGAGCGACCACTACACGACGCCTGAGGCTCCAAAACAAGCGGCGGAGATTGAACGAGTAATGCAGAAAGCTGGATATTGGGCTGCTGAGCATTAAGCAAAACCTAATAAGAAACCAACTGACCCAGCAAATCTTGTAAAGTCAGAGGCTCAACTGGCTATTACAGTGCACCTATACTTCTATTGAACTTATCCCCATGCTTCTTAAAAATAGAGGCATTGAATTCCGCCAAGGAATTTTGATGACCAACAAGCTGAAGAGAGTCAGCAATACTTTAGCTTTGTGAAGGTGAGAGGACACACATAGATCTCCTTTCTGCAGATTATCAAGCTCCATCACCAACTGAGTTTGTTGCACATAAGAGAGGGTGCCATAACCTTGCAGCAAAGCATTCAAAGCAGTCGCAACCGCATTAGCACCCTGAAGTATAGGAAAAATGTCCTTTGCAACCGACGACAAGATTTGGGACAAGACCATTTGATCCTTCTGCTGCCAAACATCCAATGCAGGGTTGGGCTCGGGCGATGCATCACTGGTGGAAGAAAGAAACCTTACCGGAGGGGGCTTGGAACCGTAAACAATTCCAGCAATTTTAAATATGGTCAACATAGGTTTCAATTGCAGCCACCAAGCAGTGTAATTATCCCAAGATTGCAGTTTGACAGTGAAAGAGCGATTGAGTGATTGAAGGCTCTGTTGAAGGTTGATGAGAGGGGAAACCGTAGCAGAGGTTGCCAGCAGAGATATGGCCGACAGTTTGGTGGAGAAGAGATGAGACATGATGATGCCGCTGTTTTTGTTAGTTTGTTCTAATGAAAAGGGAATAATACAAAAAGTAGTGATTATGTGGTGACTGGTTGGTGGTGCAGTGATTGCTGCCCGAAAGTGAGAAAGGGGAAGACTTTTGTAGGGTCGTTTGTTGCGACGGATAGAAAAGGATGAGCACCAATGACCAAGGAAGAAGAAGAAGAAAGATAGAAGTGGCGCTGGCTATGGGAGGAAGAAATAAGGAAGCTGTGTGGTTTGAATTATGTGGAGAAGAGAAATGGCAGCCGAGAAAAAAATAAGAATAATTCGGCGGCAACAAGAGACCAACATGAACAGATTGAGGGACTCGGCACCGGTGGCAGCAGAAAGAGAGGGACTAGCCAAACCGAGAAAAAAATAAGGTAGTTTGGTCAGCGGCCGACCAAAGAAGAAACCGATGGAGCAGTTCTTTGACAGAGAATAACACACGCCAGCAACAAAAGAAGGTAGTTCGGTGGGCGGCGGAGAAGGACGGCGGATGGCTGAGATGGAAGAAGAAGACCAAAAAAAAAAAAAAACTTCACTCTATACCAACTTAGAATAATAAGGAACTGGTGGCGGCAGTAGCAGGAAGAGAGGGACTAGCCGAACTGAGAGAAAAATAAGGTAGTTTGGTCAGCGACCGACCAAAGAAGAAACTTGGAGTGATGCTTCGACAGAGAAGAACGCACGCCGGCAACAAAAGAAGGTAGCTCGGTCGGTGGCGTGGAAGGGACGACGGATGGCTGAGAAGGAAGAAGAGGACCAAAAAAAACAAAAAACCTCACTCTATACCAACTTAGAATAATAGGGAATGAACTGAATTAGTTCAATAATGTACAAATACAATACATACATATAGGCATGAGTAAACCCTTTATCCTTATATTTGATATACAGGCACAGTAGGCAAATAATTAAATGCCCAAGAAATATTCAGGGCCACCTTAGCGATCTTGTCCGTCGGATGGGTTGGATATGATGTCAGTGACTTATTAGAGGTAAAAACGGGCTTTCTTAGTAAATTCAGTTCAACCAATTTAAAAAAATTGCAACCTATTGAGAAAAAAAAATCCCAATCTACAAAACGACGTCGTTTTGTAGCTGTTGAGTAAAATACCCCAACCTACAAAACGACGTAGTTTACATGCCACTATCCAAGACAAATACATCATTGCCCTTTTGTCTAACCACAAACAAACAAACAAACAAAAAAACCAATTCCCCCCGTCGCCCACCACCCACCACATCTTCATCCCCCATAAAAATACAATCTCCTTTCCTGCTCCGCCTACACTTCCACCCACCATCATCCAATTACCTTCACAATTACCACTGTCCATTGTTAAGTTACCTTCACAATTTCAACCTTTCTGTTCTATTCATGTTACTCCCTCCGCCAGACTCCGCCTCAAACACATTTCCAAACTACCCGTAAAGATCCAACCATACCTCATACGGGTATCCAGAAACGTCTGGGCCGCCGCAGGTGGGAACGCCAAAATAATGAAGCGCCACTGGTGGGCACGCCACAAGGATAAATCCATTGGGCCGTCGATTTGTCCCGGCCCACAAGAAAAAACGTAATTCGATCTCCCAGTTCAAATAAGATTAGGAAATGACCGAGAAAAAAAAAATTCGATTACAATTCCAACCATGATTTCAGACTCCTAATCATATTACAAATCCCAGGCCGGCAATCACCCTATATAAGCACTAGCAGTTCTCACAAATTGCACCACCTCAAGCTCTCTCAACAACTTTGCCTTCCGCTTTTATACAGGAAATATTTCATAAATTTCTTTCTATATCGTTTCTTTAGTAGTTGTAATTGTTTTTCTAATGTGTAATTAATCATGAAAAACCATAGTTATATGGATTAACCTCTTGTAGTTTGCATGACCTGGTTCCCATTTTCTTTTTTCTCAGTTTTGATGTCCCTTATTTTCCCGTTTCAATCATTAAAGTTTATGGGTTGGTCACTGCTGTTGTTATTGCGATTGTTTGATGTGATATTGTGGTTAGATCCTGCGGACCTGGTTGCTTTTTATTCTTCTTGAAGCAATTGTGAAGGAAACTGTGAGTCATCAACAATTGAAATAACCAATTGTGCTTATTTATTGGTTTCCTTGATTTCAAATCATTTTACCTGTAGCTTATGTAGTAATAAGAAATTTGAAGCATGTGGTTAATTGAATGATGGCTCCCTAAAGTTTAATCCCCTGCAACGTGAGGTTCTAGGGTTAATTGAATCCTAAATGGCAACCTATTAGTCCAAGAAATTAGTTATAATGAAGTAGTTACCATGAGCCGAAAAGCCCAGCACACGATTGTCAATTCAATCAATCAACTTAATTCAACAATTTGGTGTATGGATGGTGCATGTTCTAGAATCGGATGACATAGATAGCTGCGGTGATGAAGATAGCTTGCTGCGGAATCACCTTGAGTCCTTCTACAGTGGCCTTATAACCGAGTTCATTACCATCCTTCTCTTCCTTTACATCACCGTCGCCAATTGGCCACGAGAAGCTCAATGCGGCTGACAACTCAACATTGCTTGGGTCTACTTCGGTAAATTTTACTGTCATTGTAATTTCTGAAATAGCATATTCAATTACCTTTGCTTCAATCGTGCGATTGGCGTAAAATGGAAAGAAAATCCTGGATGTCCAGTAGTATTCCAATTTTGAGGGATTCATCTAAAGGTAAGTACTGAGCAAATTTCTTGTCACGATTTTCCCCTTCAGAGCCGTAATTTTTCTGGTTATTTTGTGTTGCACTTGCTTTGTTTTTGATGATTAATTTGCTAATGCCATGAACTTTTTAAAACATGCCTTCCTGACTTGATAATCATACTTCAAGTGGGAATGTCGGAGAACTTCAAAACTATACCTTTGTTTACCAGTCTTGATTTTGCTTCTTTTGCAGTTTCCGTTTTTGCCTCTTCAGCTTGTACATTCCTCCTTTCAAAACTGGCTATTAGAAGGTAGATTATTAGCTTAACCATCCAATAATCCCTTCCGAATGCGGTGCAAAGTTTTGCGAGAATATAGTAGAGTCCTGATTGGAATCAATCAATCAAGGAAAAAACTTGTACTTTTGGTAGATAGAAAGTTCTTGTACTTTTGAAAAGCATAATTTGTTCATTTGTTTTGTAATTATTGGTGATTTGTTAGAAGACATCCCCGTTGATACGTAGTATATTCTACTTTTTTTTTTTTGGTCAATTAGATTTCTATTCTTCAAATCAAATGAATTCATTCAAATCAAATGAAGCCATACACCATGATGTTGACTGGTATTAACACTAAAAGAACACGGGCAATGAACCTGTGCTCCTTATTAAAGGGTGGAAAAAGCAGAATAAAAATTTGAACAAGTGAATTGAGTGCAATATAGCTTTAGTTAAAGTAGTAAAACAAAATCCATTACAAGTTACAATCAAAAGAAGCATTTGTCGATCAGCGGGAAGAACCTAAGCAGGCTAGATACACTAGACCAGCAGTGTAGTAACAAATGATACACGAGCTCTCTGCACATTTGTAACTAATATTCTACATGGATGAATAAAGGATAAAAGGAAGAAAAAGGACTACCAGCACGGCACAAATCAATACCTCAAAAAATGGACTAAACTTTACAAGACCAACAACACCTTTACATAGAGGCCAAAAGCTCCCTCATTTCTGCCACTGATAGTATATTTTCATATGGGTACAATTTTGCCACAAGTAATTTGTTTAAATTGAGATTTTCTTTATTGAAAACAAATTAAATTTTATTCGGGCCGGATAGCATTTGCTTCTGATTTCTGCATAAGTGAATGACTTAATAAACATTTCAATCATTTGTTTGATTATATCGAGTGCAACCGAAATTCAATTCTTAAACCATGAAATCAAACTGAACATGAGGTATTAAAAAACTCATAAAAATAACAAAGTAAAAGAGTTAGTATATGTACTGGTCGCGCAACGTGCGACAAGTAAAAGATTAGTAAAAAGTTACAACCGTAACTATATAATTACAACAATAAAGGATGTGTAACATCAAAAAGTTGTATAGAAAATCTTTACAGCCCTTTGGTTAAGTTTCCCTTGATTCGTTAGACAACATTCTTTTCGTTTTGCCATTGATTCTTGCTCTGAAAACAAAGTTGCTTCTCTTCCGCACGTGCACAAATCATGCCCAATCTTAGCAATTTCTTTTTTATGTTTTCATTTCCAAATATTTTGATAGCTCCATTGCCAAATATTGCACATATGTTTTCTCCATAAAACTAATTTTAAGGCCTTTATGTTTTTCTAGTAATTAATACCTAAAAACCAGATTCATCTCCACCAGCTGGACGCCGTGTGCTTGCAACGTAGGCGATTATCACGCCCTGCGTCGCAACCTTAGCTTCACTAGCCATGACATATTGATGAACTTCAAGGTTGTTTTCAACTAGGTATTTCAATTGATTCGCTAGATGGGATCTTAGGTAGTTTCAAAGTTTTTCCGGCCCTAAAAAATTTTATTGTACTATTTCAAACTATGGCAATGGTAGTAGTTTCTGGACCCCTGGCAAATTCGAATGGCACGTGCTGCAACAATTAAAAAATAGAGAAAATTCAAGAATTGATGATAGACCACTTTAGAGCATCTTTGGAGTACCCATCACTACTCAAAACAACAAATCTCCCTTCTTCAGCTCATTTTCCACAACAAACTTCTTCCATGACGACCTATCTAGCCTCTTGGATTCGCTGTTTCCATGAAACATCATCTCCCAGGTTTTGTCGCCACAAGTAATCGTCGCGGGCACGAATTTCGATGGTAAATTGGGGTCTAACCGCATAGGAAACACCATTTGGTAAAGAGGTTTGAGATGAGACTTCTTAAGAACGGTTTGGTGAGATGCTACTACTATTCCTGAGAGCGGTACTGATGAAGAGTTGTCCATCAGTTGGGGTATTCTACGTGTTCTCTCGTTTTGCTATTCTTTTTTG